TCCAGGGAACTTTTCCCCAAAAGCAATGGTATGTGGCTCTTAAACTAAGCACTTGGTAACATCAGGACTCCACCTCTAAAATGGAATCATAGTAGTCTTGAGTTATAAGGGGGGAAAAAAATCAAGGAAATAGATAAAAGTTTGTTGCTGTATATCTTCCTTAAACTCTTGCCATGCATCACCTCTTATTTATATTAGAATATAGTAGAAAACAATGTATCTTATCCCCTTAATCAATGACTTCCAAGTCCTGTACTCTAAACAAAAATTTCAGAAATCATTTACTTTTTTTTTTAGAAAGTGCAGAAGTGAAATCACTTGTGATAATGTGGCTGTGATAGTAATCATGCTACAGACCACAGATAGCACTCTTATCGGACTAGGCAGACCTAGACAGACTGTCCCCAAGCAGAAGGGCTGACTGTAAACTCACTCAGCATCATCTTCCTGCCCACTGAATTTTGAGTAAGTCACCGAGGAGAAAGAATTAGAAACAAATGCTGGAGACAGGGACCAGCATATCTAAATTTCATAGGCCATGGAAGACTGCTTTTGACCTGCCCTAGATTCCAGAAATCAGACCTTATACAAGTAAAGAAATGACACAGCATATCAGAAAGGGACTGCAGGTTTTGCAAGAGCTGGCAGGGGTGGGGCATGTCTGGGGGCAGGACAAGGGCACCTTCAGGAAGTAGCTCCCATCCCCCCCTTACAGCAACTCCAGGAAGGGAAATGGACTTCAGCAGTCTAGAAAAACGTGGGAAAGGGCGGCAAGCAACGTTCCTGGGTTCCACCTGAATTCAGGCTGTTTCTTCTTTCTGATAGTCCCTTCCCGATCATGGAGCGGAGGAGGGGACCACCCACACACGTTTGGTGGTGTTTCTCCCTTACATACACTCTGACCTCCAGGGTGGTCTTGGTCTCCCTTCTCAACATCTCTTAGGAAATTTGGTCTTTCTCATGCAACAGAAACTCGCCATTAGTGACCGTCGTTATGTCCTAAACGTTTTAATGCACCACTATATCCCACTTAAGAACTATGAGAATTAAATAGGCTAATACATGAGAGTACTCGGCACAAATAAGATACTCAGTAGGTATCTGTTATCATTACTGTCAGTGCTAAAGACTATCTCAAGTACGTAGACTATGTGGTGTCGGAGAAGACAAGTAACTCAAGATCTTACTGAGAGTAAAAGACAGCGGGAGAACAGAATTCAGCTCACTCACTCTCCGTTCAGGCACACGCCCTGCTGCGGGTGACCACTCCTCTGTCCCCTTCTCGCCGCTCCCCGCGTGACCCAGGCGGCTTCTCCCTTAAAGGACACTCCGCAGTGAGCCCCGAGCCCGGCTGTCAGGCCCGTGCCCGCCAAGTTCGGCCCGACTCCCTTGGGGCCAGGCCCCCAACACTCGGCCCCCCCCCGGCGGAGGCACACCCCAACCCGTCCATCCGTCCCCCAGTACAGCTCACTCCTCAAACCTGCGCCCTCGCCATACCCCATCGCACCTTGTCCTCCCAGGCCGCGTCGCTCCGCAGCACCTTGCTCCAGACAGAGACTTTGAGTGCCCCGTTGGCCAGCTGCGGCTGAGGCGGCTCCTCCTTCCTCCGCCCGCCGCTCATCCTCCCACCGCGCCGCCCGTGTCGGGCCTGGGGCGCGCGGGCCGAGCCAAAGGGAGTCGGGGTCAGGGGTTGCAGGTCACGGCGCGCGGGTCGGCGGCAGAAGTCTCAGGGGTCAGGCTGACGACGTGCTGCAGTCCCTCTTACTTAACCAAGCCAGCCGGCTCTGCTCTCTCGGCTGAGACCGGTGCCGTGGGGCAGGGGCAGCGCACACTGCACGTCCTCACGCCGACGAGCATACGCAGCCAATCAGCAATCGTGTAGCTATCCGAATGAAAGCCCAGCGGTCGCCTCAGCGCAAGCGTATAGAGCGTGGCGGAAATGACGACAAGCTTGCGGTAGGAGCGCTGTAGGGCGAGTGGGAAGGGACAGTTTTGGTGGGGTCGGGGGCGTCGACACCAGCGCGAGGAGGCGCTGGGGAGACGGAGGAATCGCATTCGAGGTGAAAGCGGCGGTTGGACGTGAGCGTTGCTCAGTGCGCTTCAGCTTCTCCCCTTAGGCAGCGGGGCGGAACGTGGGCTAGCCTTTCCTGAGAAGGCATGCTAATCTGATAAATCCAGACCTTGCTTCCCAGGAACCCCAAGCTACCCCTCAGGATTTAGCTCTTGCTCATTTTCGCCCTTGACCCTGCACGTTCTTGTAGGAACTTGTTCAGAATGTGTAACTCTTTTCTGTAATAGTTTAGCGTCTCATCATGCCCAGTACCCTCTTGGCAATTGTGAGCCCTGAGACCCAGAAAGGGGAAATGATTTTCTAAGGCCATGTATCAAGTTTAAATGAGCTGAGGACTCCCGCGGGAGCAGGGGAAGGGAGAAAATACTTTATTCTGTATCAGAACATCTGAGTGTCCCTCTGTTTTGTTCTTAATGTGTTCCAGGGCAGTGGTTCACAGAGTGGGTTCCCTGATCAGCAGCAGCTGCATCACATGGAAACTTGATAGAAATGCAAATTCTCGGATTCCATCCCAGACCTACTGAGTAAGAAAATCTGAGGATGGGGTCCATAATCTGTGTTTTAACAAGCCCTCCAGGTGGTACCTATACTTACTGTCCTATGTAATAAGTTGCCACCAGGTGACCTGTATACTCTTGATCTTCACATCACTTCTGTGCAGTGGACTTATAGAGCCAAAGTAGCCTGCCCAGAATCATTCAACTAGTACCCGGCTCTGATGCCAAAATCTATGCTCTTAACCCTTAAAACTTTCAAGAGTGTCAATAAATCAGAACATCCTTTACATACCTGTAACATTCACCTGTAGCTCTCCACCTTACATGAGCAACAAAATCTCCTAGGGAGCTTTTTTAGAATACCATAGCTGGTGTTTTACACCCCAAGATCCTGTTTCAGTAGACTGAGTGGGCTGGACCCCAAAGGGTGAAACATGCTACAAGACACTGCTTTGTCTGGACCTGGTGGAAGGGCCACATGCTTGCTATGGATGCACACCTTTAGTCCTAACTTTCACATGGCTCTCGTTGCTTTCAGTCCTGCCTCTTTTCTGAAACAGTTTCCCTCCCATATGCAAAACTATGGTAAAGTCTAAACAACTCACTCCAGTTTAGAAGTGCTGTATTCACTGGAGATAAACTAACTGATCACTGCGTTGAATTCTGAAAGAGTATGTAGCCCATTGTCAAAGACACTGCTGAGTCTAGCAGTGAAGGTGTGTAATGGGGAATCTGATCTGGGGTGGCTGGGGGAGGGTTAGGCAAGATAGAGATCTGAAGGAAGAGTAGGAGTAACAAGGGGAAGTGGGAAGGGAAGAGCAGAGAGCACTCCCATAGAAGAAACCTTGTAGGCTAACAGTAAGGAATGAAGCTACAACTGGGGTGGGGGTGAGGGCATACTGAAAAATTTGGTTTTTATCCCAAGGGCTGAGGAAGGCACTGAAAGGATTTGAGCAGGGAAAGCAATCAGGTGTGCATCTTAGCAAGATCACTCTTACTGCTATTTAAGGGACGGGGAACTCCTCAAGGGAGAGCTGGTGGGGGCACTGAAAATGGAGAAAATTGGATTAAAAAGGAGTTAACTCATTATGTATATTTATATTGTGAAGCTCAGAACTTCAAGACTCATGAAGTTTGTGTTTGCATGGGGGATGAGGGGAAGATAACAGGAAGTTAGTTCGAAGGGTCCTCAGATCCTGCAGTCCAGCCCAAGATCACACAAGTTAGAGGTTACATAGGCATCTGAAATCTGATCTGTGCTCCTCCGCTTAGCTTTTTAAGAGCAGAGTTAAATTAGGAGCCAGGGTGCAAAACCCTTTACTAGAATGTATTTATGGGACTGAAGTTATTCCCTTTCTGCTTTCACCCAAGACTTCGCTTATCTTAGGAAGTGGTGAATCGGGTTAAAATAAACATCCTGGGTGGTCTAAGATGGAAAAGAACTTGATATTGAGTGATATTTGGAAGTAAGAGACAGATTTAGAAATAGAACAAATTTTGCCTTTGTGAGTTTGAACACTGGATTCAGCCTTGGGGCTGAGTATTTCCTCCCAGCTGAACGCTTCTATACCACTGCCCAGCTGCTGGTAGTAGGGGTCAGAGAGGAAGCTGTGCCCAGAGGGCTAAGATTGTGGCCAGGACAGATACTGATGGATCACAGAAATCATGAGTCTTAGGGAGAAAACCACCAGCAGTGGGAAGAGCACCTGTTGTGATATTTTTTATCTTGGTCTTTTTTTGTTTTTTTTTGCTTTGTTACTAACTGTAAATGTTTTATTATTGCTTAATGTTTTACATACATTTGTTTTACTCCTAAAGCTGGCTGAGCTCTTAACCATTATACTGAACTCCTTTTACCTTTATTTCCAAGTTTTCTACAGTGAATGTGGATTACTTCTGTAATTAAAATATCAGCCCAAGTTGTATCAGTGGTTATTGGTAGCAGGAGGGAGAGGGAAAGGGGAGCCATTGTTCAGGAAGCCGTGAGTTTCTGTTTATAGTGATGGAAAATTTGATGATTATTGGTGATGGTTACACAACATGATTAATGTAATTGATGTTACAAGCGAAAAAACATTGAATTGGCAAATGTTCTGTCATATATATCTTTACAACAATTAAAAAAAAATGTCAGGAATTTTTTTTCACACTTGAACTTCAGGCTGCCATGAACTCCTAGGGGTACTTGGTGGTACCCCCCTTCCTAACTTTGAAAGATGAGGTTCTATCTTCTCAACCCAACATTCTTGGGAATAAATCACTGCCCTGATAATAATCAGGTCCCTGGCCCAATAGCATCAGAATCTCCTGTGGCATTAGTGAGGAATGCTAGACTTACAGAATCTGACTCTTTGGGGGTAGGGCCTGGAATCTGCATTTTAGTAAGCTCTCCTGATGATCTTGATGCATATTGAGGTGTGAGAACCACTCCTCTGGGTACTTAGTGCCAATTCTACACATAAAAATCTGTGTGGTATGGAGCAAATTATTATAATAGGTTATGACTTTTTTTTCTCTCCGTCCTACGCTGAGAGTAGGGTGAGTTAGGTCAGATACTAATAGATAACAGTAATGTGTTATTCTGTTTCGTGATCCTACGAGGTTAACTAATGGTAAAGAGATGGATTGACGCAGTGGCTGTAATGATGGGCTCAAGCATAGCAACGATTGTGAGGATGGTGCAGGACTGGGCAGCGTTTCATTTTGTTGTACATAGGGTCGCTGAGAGTCGGAACTGACTCGACAGTGCCTAACAAGAAGTAAATATTACTATTCCCATTTTATTGATGAGGAAACTGGGGTTTGGAGTGGTCAATTGACTTGCCTATGGTTACAACAGCTAATTAAGTGACAGAGCCAGAACTTGAACCCAGGCTTACATCATAGAAAGTGCTTTGGAAATCAGTAACATTGAGAGCAATGATGATCATTATTTCCACATCTCTCCAGAGTGCCAAACCTTATTCTCTATGGCTCCAGTGCCTAACAAAGTGAGACTACGTTCAGACAAAGGCAGACTTGGCCCCTGCCCTTTGGGAGCTTTCACATAATGTAGCTTTTGAAGTTGAGTGTGCTTTTTAAAAATCCAGAGTTCCACCCAAGAGATTCTTATTCTAGGCTGAGATGGGACCAACAAGTTTCTTGGTGGTTCTGTGGCTGGGAGTCCATGGAGGAACTTTTGCACTTTCAAAAGTGGTGGATCAAACAGAGGTCTTCCCTGATGACCAGTCTAAAGGCATACCCCTCCCCCATCATTACTACCACTTTCTTTTTCTGATTTTTTCTTTTTTTATGACTGGATACACGGTCCAAGTTGACGTTGATTTCCATCATGACTCCCATTAGAGCAGGGGTATAGAGAGGGGGGCCAAAGAGATAGCAGGTGCTCAAGATCTGGGGCAGAAATGCATTTAAAAAGCTATTTTCTAAATGAAGCTGATACAGGAAAGGTGGATGTCCTTAGACCCCATCCCAGCTCCAGAGGAGGGGGCCCTACCCACATTATCCCTCATCAGCTTTCATGGTCTCGAGTGCTTGCTCACTCCAGGGCTCACCAATTTAAAGCTTGATGCATTAGACACTTTTGGTTTCAGTTCTTTGAAAAGTATTATTTTAAGCTCTCTTTCTCCTTAGGCAGTTGAACCACCCAACTCACTTCCCCTTTTAGTATCTCCATATGTAAAAATGAATATTGAACTTACCTTGAGGAGCCCTTGCCAGCAAGCATTCTGCCATGCCCTGGGGCCAAGCACCTAGTTTGAGGGATACTGACAGAGAGGAATTGGGAAAACCAGAACCTTGGATGAATGGCTAAGGGACTTGGGGCTCTAATATGGGGTACCTGAGTGGGGAGAGCTCCCTCTCCACATTCCTAAAGGAGAGTGACCAGTGGCAGAGACTAGGTATCTCCCATCCAGAAACATTAGGGAGAAATTGCAAGGAAGCTGATTTGGCTCAGAAGAAACTCTAGTGCTTAGCTCATACCATTGTTAGATAGCTGGATGCCAGTAGGTGGTGAACTGCCCATACTAATTCAAATAGGGTCTGGGCAGGCCTTGGTGACCTTCAGGTAAGACAGGCTTGAATTCAAATCCTCGCTTCACGCTTATATCGGCTGTATGTGTTTGGACAAGTAACTTAACAAACACTCGGATGCTCATCTATAAAATGAGAAGGGTTTTTCACTTTGGATGTGTGTGTGTGTATACGCAAAAAAAAAAAAAAAAAAGTAATGAATATTTTCTACTGTTGTAGACCTCGATTTGGCACTGTTTGGGCTGCAATTAGAGTGCATCGTCATTTCATTATGACCGAAATGCAACTGATAACTAGCGTAAGCACAAAGGGGAATTTGCTAACTTATGTAATAGGGAAGTCCAGAGGTGGTACTGGTTTCAGACATGACTGGAGCATCCATCTCATCTACGCTGGCTTCACTCTGTAGTCATACCCTTTGCTCATTGGGGGGCAAGGGAGAGGTAAAGTGCGAGCTCCCTAAGTTCACATCCTCACCACTTAGCAAGCCCAAACCTTGGCTGTTGATCCCAGGAAAAACTGGCTGGCCCAACTTGGGACGCAGAGCCCTGTATACTGATGAAGGGGATGGGAGGAGAAGGGAGGTTGGGGGCACTGGCTTCTCAATGGTAACAAGGGCATAGGGTGTACAAAACTCCCAGCTGGCCACTAGAGGGAGGGTGGAAGAGGTGAGGCTGAGCATGAACTCAGCAACCACCCTTTCTCCAGGCCTGGGCCCAGGGTCACAGTGCATCAAGCACGCATCCAGCTTAGGCCTAGAACAAACAAACAAACAAAAACAAAACAAACTTTATTTGACAAAAGACAAAAACAAGTTATTTACAGTAGTTTCTTGCTCAAATAATTCAATGGGAAAACTGTGCTTTTCCTCTAGGTTTATCTCACAACTAAACCCAAGCAAGGCTGCCCTACCCCAGCCACCCCATTTCACACAAGGGGAGAATGCCAACCAGAATTCAGCAGCATGGCTTCCCCTACCCTTCACCAACTCCACTGCCCAGTGCACTGTGGGAAGGGAAAAATCTCACCCCAACCCAACACACTTCCCATGTCCCCTGCTACAAGTACACAGCAACAGCCACACCAGACCTGGACTCACAGACATGGGTGGGGTGGAAGAGGCTAGGCAAACAGCAGCTTCAACTAAACCTGAAGCTGCCATGTTCATCCTTCCCCAGCTGGGCCTCAGGAGGGTGAGGATCCCTGATCCCCCTGCGGCACACAAGGAGAGGGCAGGAGAAAGAGGCCAGAGGGTAGCAAAAGAGCCTAGGAAAAGTGCCCACCCACAGAGAACAAAACACTCTCTCCTTGAATAACTAATCTCCCCTCCCACAGCAATGGATGGAGTAGGGGAGCCTCCCTGAGGGCTTCAGGGATCTTTCCAGATAGGACAAAACACGTTGCTGCCTTCCTCTTTGTGTGCCCCAGGAGATCCACCCAAGTCTGTCAACACCGAGGGATGCTCACACTCCTCCTGTGCCAAACACCTGGCAATCTCAGAAACTGCAGCTTGGGGATCCTGGCCTGTCTCCTGGCCCAGTAACAATGTTATTCAGAACAAAGTTATTTAGGCTAATAATAACCTAGGATTAGTGTTTTTTAGGATATATAAAGATTGGGTATATTGCCTTTGAACACTGTCAGCTATGAAACAGCAAAATAAAAAACAGGGAGGTAATGGGAGGGGTGGAATAAGACAAACTATGATCTGCTTCACTGTGAAGTTCAAGGGGAAGCCCCTGCAACTCCAGCTTCAAAAAAGGTGCAACACAAGGAGACAGCTAACAGGCTTCATAACCCATTTCCAGCCCCAGCCTTCTCTGAAGGCAGTTGCTCAGACAAACGGGGGCGCTATTACCTGCTTCCTCCAGGAATAGTTTCCTGTCACCATTGTGGGAAAAGCTGCCTGACCACTAGATGGCTCACTTCTCTCCAAGTAGAAGCTGCGGGAACTTTGACATTCTAGGCCCCACTAATCCAAGTTCCTAAAAGAATGAACAACTCAGGATGCAGGGCAAAGCAATCAGGAATACAGAAATGGAGGAAAACATTAAAGAGAAAAAACTAAAATAACAAACAAACAAACAAAAAACCCCACTGCTTCAATCTAGCTTATTTCCCCCCTCCCTCCCCAAATACAATAAAAACAAAAATAAAAAAACCAAACAGCTCTCTGGTTTTATCATCCTTCTCTGCTCCGTGCCTAGAAGGTTTGGTCAGATTCTCTGGTGGACCCTCTGCCTTGGCTGTGGCTGTGTCCCCTTCTGCGCCTAATGCGGAAAAGCCAAAGCCTGTAAAAGTTTTCTTTTTCGCTAAACCAAACAACCAACAATGAAACAACCATTTGGAATTTTCGCACTACTGCAGAGATTTAGCTGGTCCCCAAAATAAAAGCACACCCTTCCTTGTAAAACAATCACCAGTTGCAGTGGTGGCTCATTCCCAGTTCATTAGACTCCATCCCGCAACACACTCTCATTCCCCACACCTGAGCTAACTACTCCCATTAATGCAAACCACAGCAAAAAGGAGAAAAGAAAAAGAGGTTAGCGAAAATCTAAACATTCAACTGGAGTCGGTTCTGTTACATCTGCTGAGTTCCTCTTTTCTTTTGTTCACACTTACGAACTTGGAATGTCCACACCTGGATTAACAAAGAGGTCCCGCTCAGGGACAACTTGGAACCAGCATAGGTGTGAACTCGGCAGGCTTCCTGAGCTCAGCCCAGGAAACCAGGCTGGAACAAAGGTAACCTGGGGATTTTCTGAAGAAGCAGCAGCAGCAGCAGCAGCACCATGCCTGTCTCCGATCTCTTGGTCCCATCACTGTGAGGAGGCCTGGAGAAGTGGCAGAGTCAGTGGAGGGGAGGTCCCCATCACAGTGCAGTGACGCCAGCTGGCATCTTCCTGCTGAAGAGCTCTGGACAGAGGAGGCGATCCCGATGCTTGGCAGTGATCCATATAAAACCCTCTGTATGAAAGGGAACCAAAACGGAAACCCAGGACAACTAGCTCGAACCTCGAGCACCCCTTTTGGCAGATGCCTACTTGGGGTTTTCAGAGACTAGGGGGATGGGAGTATGCAGCAAGGGGGGTGACAGGTCCTGCTGCTTCTGAAGCTCCATCTCAGCAGCCCTCTGTAGTGCCACCTCCACCAACAGCTGGAAGCTGCTGAAGTCCTCCTTGTCCTGCTCTGGGGGTGTCGGTGGTGGTGTGTTGAAGAGTCCACCTGTGGGGCTTCCGGCCTCAGCCCTGGTGAGCACGGTAAGTGTACTACCAGGGGTCACCAAGGACTTGGTGGGCTCCAGCTCCCCCTGGGGGAGGGAAGCTGCTGACTTCTCCCCCTGGCCTGGGTGGTGTGGCATGGAGCACACGGACAAGGAGAGCACATTGGTGGGGGCTGGTACGGACACAGCCAGCACCGAGGGGCTACTGCCCCGGGGGAGGGCCACATCTGAGGCCTTACCCCCACGGCGGGAGATGGTGAACTGGTTGGGATCTTTACCATCCTTGCGAAGCATGTCTGGGAGAAGCCGTCGCCGGGCATTGATGAACCAGTTACATATCTGGAATGAGTATAACAGACTATGATCAGTTCATGTATTCAAAAACAACTATGAAGCATCTACTATGTTTTAGGCCCCAGGGATACAGCAGCAAACACAGACATGATCCCAGCCCTCACAGAGGTTCATAGTGCAAAGAGTCAGTTAAATAAGAAATCACACAAATAAATGTCAGACTACCACTATGATTTGGCCAATGATGGGAAGGCACATGGTGCTGTTAGAGACAAGAGGGACCCAATCTTTGTGGACTCGGGAAGTATTCTCTGAAGAAATGGCTCTTAAATTGAAATCTGAAGGATAAGTTGTTTGGGTGAGGGGTGGAAAGGAAGAACATTTGATTTAGAGGGATCAACCTGTGCAAAGGTCCTGTGGCAGGTGGTAGCAGAGTGCCTATGAGGAACTCACAGAAGGATGAACAGTGTGGCTGGAGCCTGAGAGTGGTAACTAGAGGTTACCTCTTGTAGTAAGGATTTGGTTCTTTATTCTAAGAGCAATGGGGAGTCACAGGAGGGTTCTGCTCCGTGGAGAACAGAGTGGAAGCAGACAGCTGGGTTAATAGTTTAGGTTATGTTAAGGGAGGGTGTGAGAAGAGGACAAATGTATGCTCGATCTGCGAAACTGGATGTGAGTGGGTGAAGGAGGATGATTCACTCATAAATTTCTAGAGCACAGTCTCACTGCAGGCCAGAGAGCCACAAAGGCACCAGGGGGCTGTCACGTAAAAGAAAAACTATTCTTGTTTCCAAGCAAAACCAGGACCAGTGGCTCCAGGTGAATGTATATTCAATCAATATCCTCAAGTCTTTTCCCCATGTAACGCTGAGAAAGTTACACTAACCTTGACCCTGTTCTTGCCTAGCTGTTTAACCTTTTTGGACCTATGCACAAGGCATGAAATCTCTCACTGTTAAGTAGTATGCTCCAAAGCTCACCATACATCTGTTAAAGAAATGTGTGGAAGTCAGATATAAGACCCTACTCTTCAGGAACTTACTGTCTAGTTTGGGGGACACATGCAGCACCCTGCCCCATACCTGTACAGACTCTTTTAACAGCCCCAGCTTCATGGCTTTCCAATCCAGTCTCTTCACTGGTTGTCAGTTTTTTCTAAAATGCAAGTGACTGCATTTTTGTTTTAAAAAACTGCCGTTTGTCTCCTACCACCTACAGGATCGAGTCCAGAGTCCCTAGTCTGGGTGTTAAAATCCTCCCGTCATAGCCTACGTTTCCAGCCACCAGGACACTATCCCTTGCCACCTTGTATCCTTCAGCATGTGCAGCTGTGCACCAGCTCTCATTCTGGCCCTGCTCTTTTTTCCCACAAAAGTTCCATACCTTTGCACACTACATTGCTTCTTTCTAGAATGTCCTCTTCTTCATCTGGGGAATACCTACTACTGTTAAGTCTTGGCTGATCTAAGACATTGGAGATAGGGCCAGAGCCGAGGCAACAAGTTCAAAAGACATCCCCTCACCTAGGCTGGTAAAGGGCCTGGTACAGTCCTTTTTCCTACATGAATGAATGACACCATATTGGTCGATAACAGTGTTCACAAAGAGTGTGAATACCAGGGACGTGTTACCCAATAAGCAAGGTAAGCACATGCTTAGGGCATCAACAAAACAAGGGCACCTGAGCAGCCATCTAAGATACTCCACTGGTCCCACCCCATCTGAAGTAAGGGAGAATGAAGAAAACCAAAGACACAAGGTAAAGATTAGTCCAAAAGACTAATGGACCACAACTACCACAGCCTCCACCAGACTGAGTCCAGCACAACTAGATGGTGCCTGGCTATGCCCACTGACTGCTCTGACAGCATCACAAAAGAATAGTCCCAGACAGAGCTGGAGAAAAATGTAGAACAAAATTCTAACTCACAAAAAAAGACCAGGCTTACTGGTCTGACAGAGACTGGAGAAACCCCTAAGAGTATGGTCCCTGGGCACCCTTTTAACTCAGTAATGAAGTCACTCCTGAGGTTCACCCTTCAGCCAAAGATTAGACAGGCCCATAAAACAAAACGAGACTAAATAGTCACACTAGCCTGGGGAAGGACGAGAAGGCAGAAGAGGGCAAGAAAGCTGGACAAATGGAAATGGGGAACCTAAGGTCGAGAAGGGGAGAGTGTTGAACATTGTGGGGTTGGCAACCAATGTCACAAAACAATAGGTGTATTGTTTAATGAGAAACTAGTTTGCTCTGTAAACCTTCATCTAAAGCACACACACACACAAAAAAACCCACAGGGGCACCAGTTGTCCAAAACAAGAACCCATAGACGACACCAAGGAGACAAGACACAAAAGTGAGTGCTGCAGTGGAAGGAACTGGCAGGGCACTAAATGAAACTGATACCAGCTCCAGTGTATGAGAATGTGCTGGCCAGAAATAACGTTCAGGCAGGGTCACGAGGGCACCCACGCACAAGGCTGTTTAAGCTCTAAGGCCCCTACCACTTCAACACCTTCATTGACATCTGTCTCCTATGGTCCCCTCCTGAAAGTGAAACTCCTTATCTCAGCAGGTCTCTCAGGAATATACCATTTCTAATAAACAAGAGATGGGGGTGGGCTGTTGAGTCTAACTCTTGCTACGTTCACCCAATATGCAACTGGATCCCCAGCGTAAGCGATTACTGGGCAAGAAAGGATTATATAAATAGATTACAGGTCTCTGATCCATTTTGAGAGAACCATTTTATACATCTATGTCTGCTGATCCAACAACTCCAGCCAGGAGGGCCAGCAATGCTCTTTGCCATGATACGAACAAAAGGGTATGCTCTTGTGCATGTCCTGTTAAACAACCAATGGGAACTCCAGTCCCAGATGACACACAAAAGCAAGGGAACTCAAATAAATTGACCAGTGCAATGAATTCAATCAAGTTACTTTTTAACTATAGCATTTATATACAAAGTTATGTCCTAAGTTTTGTGAACAATAATATTTATAACTAACTTGAAAATGTTTGGCATACACGCAGATGCAATCTATTATAGATTTAAAATAATACTACCATGAGTAATAATTTAATATTAACATAGCAAATGTCAAAAAAATACTGGAAATATTAATATTTATCTAACATGAAAAGTTTTAATTTATGTATCAAGTGAATTTTGTTTTTTATTGCCTGTTGTGCAGGACACTGTTTGATATTACTCTATATATGCTAATAAATGAGGTATTAGGCATATTGAGAACACAGAATTCAATATTTATCGTGTAAAATATGTTTTGCAACAATGAGTGTGTTTCTAAATTTGTCTTCCAAGAAAGCAACAAAGGGCGCTTATCAGAACACTACATTTATATTTTATCATAATATTTCATATCTCCATGTAAGGAAATTGAACTATTTCTCAAAAAATTAAATGAATATTTAGATAATAAAAATT